AGATTTATTGAACTGCATCTTTACAAAATAAATATATATCATTTTAGAGTACTCAATGAATATTTTAAATGTTTATGTATTTAAAAGACCACCTAATATGCCAGTATTTAAAGAAAACCATATGTTCACAATATGTTTTTTTGTTTTTTTGTTTTTGGGGGTTTTTTTGAGTTGGAGTCTCACTCTGTCGCCCAGGCTGGAGTGCAGTGGCATGCTTCTGACCACTGCAGCCTCAACCTGCTGGGCGCAGGTGATTCTTCCACTTCAGCCTTCCAAGTAGCTGGAACTACAGATGCATGCTACCGTACCCAGCTAATTTTTTTATTTATTGTAAAGACGAGGCCTCACTATGTTGCCCAGGCTGGTTTCAAACCCATGGACTCAGATAATCCTCTTGCCTCATCTTCCCAAAGTGCTGGGATTATAGGCTTTAGCCACGGCACCCACCCACAATACATGTTTTTTAGAAGTGAAAAACAAAATGAACTATGACACTTTTTTAAAGAGAAGAAATAAAAGTAAGTTTTAACAATAGTCATCTCCAAGTGGTGGTAGTAGTGAATTATTTTATTTTACTGTTTGTGTTACATTTTCTCTAATAAACATTCTGTTTCTATAAGAGAAAAAATGTATATATAAAATAAAGATAATTTCCAGGTATGGTGGGTCATGCCTGTAATCCCAGCACTTTGGGAGGGAGGCTGAGGTAAGAGGATTGCTTGAGCCCAGTAGTTCAAGACCAGCCTGGGTAACATAGCAAGACCTCACCTCTACAATAAGTTTTTTTTTTAAAGTAGCCAAGTGTGGTGGCACACACCTATAGTCACAGCTATTCAGGAGGCTGAGGCAGAAGCCTGAGCTCAGGTGATGGAAACTGTGGTGAGCCATGATTATGCCACTGCACCCTAGCCTGGGCAACAAAGTGAGACCTCACTCAGATCATCATCATCATCATCATCTATAACCAGCAGAGCACACACAAAAAAGAGACAGATTTCCTTACTATTAATTACAACACACTTGCTTAAGACATGTGCTAGTGTGCTGAAACTTCTATGAAAGAATAACTAAGAATCACAAAACTAAAGTAATAAACCAATAGATTGAAAAAACATGTGTATCAAACATCACATTAAATACATGCACACATGTGTATGCAAGGTCATCTCTATTTGTAAGGAAAAATAGCCAGACTTCCCAAATTAGAAGACTAGAAGATATAAAAAGTCATTGACATCAAAGGAAATAAAACAACAAACAAAACCAAAATGCTCTAACCTTGTCAAAGTCACAGAAATGAAAGAAAAACTGAGGTATACCATTACAGATAAATTAGCCAACAAGAAAAAGGTCATTAGCAGGCAATGTCTGTGGGCTTATTGTGAAGTGGACACAAATGGTAACAGTACATATTAGTTCATGCTTTTGGAAAAATAATCTGGCAATATGCACCAAGAAGCCTAAAAATGCTCTTATCTTTTTACCCAGTAATACTTCCAGGGACTCACCACACGAAAATAGTTTTAAAAATTGATAACCTTTAAGCATGTAAATCAAGCCAGTCATGCAGAGATTAGCAAAGAGCATTCTAGATGGAGGGACTATTCATGGAAGCATGAATAAGAATAACAAAAAATTAACAATGCCTAAATGCTCAACAGTAGAGCAACTTTACAAGGAGTTAGTAATTTTCTAGAAAAATAGTTAAGAGCTTTTTCTCTGGCCCCAGACAGATAATCAAAGATGAGTAAAACATGAACTCTATCTCCAAGGGACTCACAGTCTACAGTTAATAGGCATTATCCCTTATTGAGTATGTGACTTTGAAAAAGATTCTTTTACCTCCCTAAGTCTCAGTTTTCTCATTGTCAAAGAGAAGATTGATAATGGTACAGTCATGTGTCACATAAAGACATTTCAGTCAACAAACCAACCATATGTATGATGGTGGTCCCATAAGATTGTAATGAAACTAACCAGGTGTGGTGGCTCACACCTGTAATCCCAGCACTTTGAGAGGCCAAGGCAGGAGGATTGCTTGAACCCAGGAGTTTGAGACCAACCTAGACAACATAGTGAGGCCTCATCTCTACTAAAAATAAAAAATTGCCTAGGCCTGGTGGTTTACCACCATCTCTAGCCTCAACATCCTGGGTTCAGGCAATTCTCCCACTTCACCCTCCTGAGCAGCTGGGACTACAAGCACGTGCCACCACCCCTGGCTAATTTTTTAATTTTTGTAGAAACAAGGTCTCACTGTGTTGCCTAGGCTATTCTTGAACTCCCAGGCTCAAGCAATCCCCCCACTTCAGTCTTCCAAAGTGCTGGAATTACAGGCATACCCAGTCCTACTTATATAATTTTTTTTTTTAATCTACCCATTTCTAACATATACTGAGCACTCACATGTGTGCCACATTCTGTACTGGGGAAGCAGATATGGTTTCTGCCTTCAAGGGTCTCACAGTGTAGTAGATAATTCATTCATAATTCATTTGACAAATATGTGTTGAGCACTTCCCATGTGCCAAGCACTGTGCCGGGGGCTGGAAACTCAGAGGCAGCTCATTGGACAAGGTAGTTATCCTCAGAAAGCCTACCTTTAGGTTAAGAGAAAAACACAGCAACCAAATGCACTGTGTGGACCCTCTTTGGCCCCTGAGATCAGTAAATCAGCTATTAAGAACCTTTTATGTCCGGAGGACATGATGGTTCACACCTGTAACTCCCGCACTTTGGAAGGCCAAAGCAGGAGGATTGCTCGAGCCTAGGAGTTCAAGACCAGCTTAGGCAACATAGTAAAACCTCATCTCTACAAAAATATTTAAAAAGTAGCCAGGCCTCCCAGCTACTCAGGAGGGTGAAGCAGAAGGATCACCTGAGCGCAAGAAGGCTGAGGCTGCAGTGAATCATGTTTGTGCCACTGTACTCCAGCCTGGGCAACAGAGTGAGACCCTGACTCAAAAAAAACAAAAAACTGTTTATGAGCCAGTTGGGGATATCTGAACACTGATGATGGGGGAATACCAAGGAATTGTTCGTTTTTAATTTGATAATGGAATTGTGATTTTTTCAAAGTCTTTATCTTTTAGAAATACATACTGCACTAAAATATATTTTTTAAAATTCTACAATATTGATTCTGTACTTTTCTCATGATGTTGTTGTAGCTTTTTTATTAATCTCTCTCTCTCTCTCTCTCTCTCTCTCTCTCTCTCTCTCTCACACACACACACACACCTGTTTCTATGTAACAAGATTTTGTTTCCAAAGCACAAATAATTCTTACTTATTAACCTCTGCAGCCCACAACACATTGCTTTGCATATTGAAGAGTACTCAAGTATTTGTTGAATTTTTTTAAAAAAGAAAGAAACACAAACAAAAAAGGGCCAAATGTGGTGCAATAATAAGAGAAATATACCTTGAGCCAAGGGTCATGTTCAGTACAACTTTTATACTTGAGGTCTAAAAACAAAGTTCCTGGGAGGGAAGAGCAGGGATGTAAAGCTGCCATGCCACTCGTGAGGGCCTTCCTTGGGGAAGAAGGCACAGGTGTCCTGGGGCAGGCTGAGTCCCTGTGACACGCTCCCAGTACCACAGGAGCCAACTAATTGCGTATGTTGTATGTTGTCATCCACACAATATATGTCTCCACCACCAGACCATGGGCCCCACCCTGCATCCGCTCATGTGGCTGGATTCAGAGAGCAGTTCAGAGCCCAAAGGAAGAAACCATGGAATCTCCCAAAGGAGGAACATCGCAGACCATGAAGAGAGCCAGTAACTTCCTGGTGCCCAAGTCAGGATGCCAGCTAGCGATAAGTCAAAGCAGAGATCCTGGTGGGGTGTGTGGTAGTGGGCTGGTATCATAGTCTTGCTCTTCTGAGGAGCCAATGAAAGGAAGGGAGAGGGGGTGAGAGATGGCATGCAACAGGAAGAGGGCCACTGGATGGGGAGAGGAACTGGCAAACAATGGCTGTCTGCTCTGTAACCCGGGCTTGCTGGCCCAGGTTGGCCTGATTCCTTCTCCATGTAGTAGGATGTGGGCTACCACAAGAATGCAAGCAATGCCAGTGTGTCAGAGTAGAAAACTGAATTCCTCAGCACATCTGGGAGGTTTACTCACACCAGCAGCCATAGGCGTGTTTATAGAGTGAGGACCCATTAAGCACATTCACAGTGCCTGGGCACTTGGAGGAGGAAGGGAGGAGTCTTTTCTGCCTGCAGTGGGATAAGGTGCAGGAAGAGCTACAAAGAGGAGTTGATTTTCAAAACCCATCTGACTGGTTCTTGAAAAACCGGGTAGGATGGGAAGGGAAGGAAAAACAGTGATTGCTCACAAGGACCTAGACGCTGGTGAGGCACTTGGAGGAAAATTTCCTTCCAGGAAGAAGAGCTGCACAAACAAAGGCCTAGAAATGGGAAAATACATCGGCACATCTGGATTTCTTTCTCCTCTTAAAGTTGCCCTTAAAGATGCTGGGTTCCACAGGCTAGAAAGAACATTTTATCTATTCCAGTTCTCTGGTTAATACAGAAAAACCCATTACAGATGAACTGTTAGACTTCTAGGAATTTACCCCAGGGCAGTAACCGGAGATGTATGTCAACATATATTCACAACGCTCAAAAACAGGAAACCAATGGCCAGCCACTAGAGTTAGGTTGGTTAAAATACCATGTAGTCATCAAAAAGCATGTTGTCAAAGATTAGTGACATGGAAATAGCTACATCCCATATACATTTTTTAAAAAGCAGGTTATAAAACAACATGACTTCAACTTTATGAAAAAATTATAATAATATTTTAAAAAGAATTAAAAGGAATGTTCAGTCTATCTCTGTGTAGTAGGATTACGGGTGGTAACTTTCTTCAACTTTGTTTTCTATTATCTACAATAAATAGGTTTTTAAAAATTAGATAAAAGTCCAGCAGATGTTATTGTAACATACACACACACACAATTGAAAATAGGCCCCCATGGGGTAGGCTCACCTTCTGCAGGATGGGGGTAGGGCAGATGTTGTCAAACAGGACTGAGTTGAAGATCCCATACACGCCCTCATCGAGGTGGTACATGATGGTCTTGGTGGAACCGTTTTCCTCTACGGGGAGGGGAGGGGTCAGGGGCAGCATAAGTAGCAACATGGGAGGGTTGTCATGGGGAGCTGGCTCAGCAGTGGGTTCAGCAAGAATCCTGGTTCTATGAAGCAAAAGGGCTGCCCTTCCTCAACCACAGGTGGGTCCTGCAACAGAACCCAGCAACCATCCTCCTGATGACATGGGTTCACTTCCATGTTGGGACATTCAACCTTACAGTCAAGATACCCTGCCCAGGACGCACTTCCCTGCCCACATCTGAACCCCTAGGTACTCCAGCAAAGGCAGAAGAACAGCCCACACAAACTCAAGACCCCAAGAGGTTAAGCCACTTGCTCAAAGGCACACCACAGGACAGTGGGTGAGCTGGGATGGGAAGCCAGTTCTCTTGGTTGGACTGTCTGGGACAATTCCCCAGGTCTATAAAGGAGGCCAGAGGAATGCTATCCCTACACACACACAGGGCATTCTACCTGAAGTTCACCACCCCTCCACATGAATTCTCTCTGGGGAAGAGTGCCCAGTCCTGCCTCAGGGTCCCAGAGAAGAGGGTAAAGCCCCAAGATCAGAGTCCCTCACACTTCTCACTCACAGGGCTGCTGGGAGGTCAGACCTATCAAGAATGACAGGGAAAAGCAATTTGGGCCCAGAAACTCAGCCTGACCTAAACTTGAATCCCAGCACTGTCCTGTGACTTTGGGCTAGTGACTTAACCTCTCCCTGACTACATCCTGTCATTTTTAAAGTGGACTCAAACAAATAAAAGTTGTCATTAGTTATTTTCACTACAGTATAAGTGGTAGGGTGAGTAAGAGCCTGTACTTTGGAGAGGAGACTGACATGGTGTCAAATGCAGGTTTTACTTCTTACTAGCTATTAAGCAATTTACTTGTATTCTCTTTGGCTCTCAGTTTCCTCATCTATAAAATGGGGTCAATATTCTGTGGACTAGAATATTCTACTATTGACTGCAAGCCAACATTCTAGTCTCCCCAAGGTCATTTGATCTCAATCTTCACAAAATATGAACACACCTAAGAAAAAAGGCTTGCTTAGCATCTTGGGGTAGGGGGACTTGATTGTAAGATTTCCTCAAGCAAGGACCCATTCTCCAGGTTCCCCCCACTCACCACCACTGGTCAGCCAGTCACTGCTTCAAGGGAGAACAGGGCTCCACTGCCTATCTGGCACCTACCCTCCCTGCCAGCCTGGTCCAGAAGAACCTCCTTCTTGGCAGTGATACTGACTGCCACAGTGAAGGCCGAGGTCACATAGTAGCGCCCCAGTTCAGCAAGGATGTCCACACCACAGCCCTCTGGGAAGTACAGGTCCAAGGCTGAGTTGATCACAGAAGCAATCTGGTGGGAGGGGAATAGGAGTGACAATCACATGCTTGAAATGCAGGGTTTATGCTGAAGACTTGCTACAACTACAACTCTATTTCTTGAAAGCACCTTTAATTTCAGGAAGAAGGGCTTGGCAGCTGTTAAGGCCCCAGCAGGTAACTGCAGACAGCTGGTCACGAAGGTAGGAAGGGGACAGAGCTGGGTCAAGACTTACCTCATTCTTGGGTAAGGCGCCCTCCTCAATCCCCCCAAAATGGGAAGGGACACTCTTCATATCACACTTGGGACTCAGATTCCAGAAGCCCTGATGTGGATCTTTCCTCCAAAAATAGGCAATCTATTAAACACAGTTGCTCCTTGACCAACACAGGTCTGAATTGTGTGGATCCACTTAAATATGGATTTTCCTCCACCTTGGCCACCCCTGGGACAGCAAAATCAACCCTCCTCTTCCTCCTCCTCCTCCTCTACCTATTCAATATGAAGATGATGAGAATGAAATCTTTATAATGATCCTCATTCACTTAATGAATAATAAACATATTTTCTCTTCCTTATTATTTTCTTAATAGCATTTTTTCTTTTGCTTACTTTATTGTAAGAACATAGTACATACCACATATAACATACAAAATGTGTTAATTAACCATTTATGTTGTTGGCAAGACTTCCAGTCAACAGTTAGCTCTTAGTAGCTAAATTTTGGGGGAGTCACAAGTTATGTGCAGATTTCTTACTGTGGAGAGGGATCAATGACACTAAGCCCTGCATCGTTCAAGGGTCAGCTGTAATACATTTGATTACAGAAAATTCAGAAAATACAGAAAAGGAAGAATATAAAGTCACTCCTAATTCTATAACCCAGCTGAACCTAATCATTGTTCACTTTTTGGAGTAGATTCCTTAATTTTTTTCTACAAACAAATTATAACCATATTTATTATAACCATATTAAGTCTCTGTGTATGCCTTAGAGCTTGTTTTACTCAATAGACTGTGACAAATGTTTAACATTCGCTCCCCACATGAATAAATGTTTTGTCACTAAAATGCACCATAATTTAACCAATCCTGAGTATTATAATGACCAAGGAATCCACTGGACTTCTGTTATGAACAAAGCTGCAATGCTCATCTTGGAGGTGAATTATTTGTGTCTGTCCCCAATTATCTCCTTAGGGTCAATTCCTAGATGTGGATAGTCTCAGAGGAAGCATGTCCTAAGGAGCAGTGACCTCTAGTGGTTAGGGTGGGAATTGCTCTGACACGCTTGACTTCCTTTCACACGTGGGAAGGAGAGAGAATGGAGAATGGGTCGGAGTGGACCCAAGGGTCCCTGCCTTTCCACTTGATTTTTCATCAGTCCACATGCGGGTGAATGGGCATACACAGATCCTTAAAGAGGCTTATGACTCATGAAACTATGTTCTGGTGAAACCTCAAATAGGCTGCTTAAGTGCATGAGCAGAGTCAGGCAGAGCCGGGTTCTGCTGTAGACTCAGAAAGTGATGCAACCCCTGTGAGCCTCAGCTTGCTCAGCTGGAGCACAGGGTTAATAAGAAATGAGCTGTCCGGTTAAAACCAAGCACAGCACATGGTACAGAGGACCTATGCACAGTGGGGTCCCTGTGATCCTTATCCCTCCCTACCCCTCTGTTGCCCCCCACAGAGCCCAGCAAGACACAGCACCAGGGTTACCTCTTCAAATCTCACTTTGGCCCCCTCCGTGCCAGGGAAGCCGCCGCCAAGGTCCAAGACGTGCATCCTGTGGCCCAGCTCGGTGCCCATTTCAAACACAAGCCGGGCGTCTGCGATGGACTGAGCATAGGCCTGAGGGTCAGGACAGCCACTGCCAACGTGAAAACTGGAAAGAGAGGAAGAGCCCTGGCTTACATGCAGGGCCCCAGGTGTCACCACCTCAGCCCCAGCCAGGACCAACTTGGCAGGCACATGGGACATTGTGCCCATTTTACAGATGCAGTGACTGAAGGTCTGAAACATTATATGGGTTCCCAGGGGTCACATGGCAAGTAATGAATGGACAGGAAGCTAAAGCCAAGGTCTCTTGGCTCCTCCCATCCCTCCATGTGGCTTCTAAAGATTATCCTTCTGGGATGAGAGCCAGGGCCCCAAAGTCAGCCAGATCTGGATATACCTCAGTTGACTGTGTGGCCTTGGCAAGTAACTCAGCCTGCCTTATTTTCGCTTTCTTGTCTATAATGCAGGGATAAGCCCCATACCACTCAAGGCCATGAGATAATGCACATGTAGCACTCAGCAACTGGTATACCCGAAGTATAGAATAAGTGAAACTATATTTTAGGTCATTATTATTACTTCTTCCATATATCTGAAAGAAAAGAAGCAGATCAAGGACATAGCTGCACAACACTTGTCCTACAGGCTGGCAAAATTCCCTTGAAGCCACGTCCCTGGGTGGGATTTCCTGGGACAAGACCTTGGGAACCGTGGGGTTGGGAACGGGCCATTCCAAACCTTCTTTCCAAAGAGAAGAAATTCTCAAATGGCAGAATTCCAGGCCCAGGGACAGGCCTTGCTTGGAGGCCTGGAGATGGTCTCATACAGAATTAATTCCTGGGCAGGAGGCAGTGGGCCTGCCATGGGTGGGGACGGCAGGGCTTCCCAGCGCTCACCTCACACCCACCACCTCCATGTGGCTCTTCTTGGCATTTTCAAGCAGATGTCTGCAGGATTTCAGCGGTACTCCAAACTTCAGGCTCAGGCGGCTCAGGGAGTGGGAGTCATCGGTGGCAATGCACAGAACCATCCTGGTGAGATAGGCAGTGCTCCCTCACTGAGGAAAACCTGCCTCCCCGCCCCAGCCTCGACTTCTATAATCGAGGGCTATGAACTGCATGACTCAGAGCTGCCCAGCCCCCACAGGTTCCCTGACTCCCTTTTCTCAGCCTGCACAGCCAACCAACCTCCAAATCCTGTCCAATCCATTCCCTAAGCATCCCTGGAACCCATCCCTGCAGCAGGGGCCAGGTCTAGACCTCATCAACTCTTCTCTGGGCAGTTCCAATTCCCCCAAATCAGCCTCCACATCAGTCAGAGTATTCAAATTCTTTGTGTATGAGAAGAACCATTTTTAGACAGTCTTAAGAAAACCTCAATTCATGATGGAAACTACTTTGGGTGAGCCAAAGTAGCTCACCACCTGGACTTCCCTACACCCCAAGGCCCCTCCCAAGAAGCCCCAGGGTATCTGGTAACCATGTAAAAGCCACTGCCAGAGTAAAACATCCAGTCCTGATCCCTTCTACAGTTCATTTGACTTGGAACCAGCCCCTGTCCTCTTCACCCCTCACCCATGCCACGTTCCAGTCTCACCAAATTTCAGCTCATCCCTCAAACCTCCCATGCTGTTTCCAATCTCCATGTGTTTGCTTATGCAGTTCACTATTTATTCTCTTCCCAAATTATTCCATTCCTCAAGGCCCACATCAAATGCCACCTCCTTCATGAAGCTTTCCTGACCACTCCCTCTGGCTCTCTCAAGTCTGTAACTTTGACCTCATTGACACTGGGCCTTACTCTGTCTGAGGCTGCAGCTAGTTATTTCTGCCTTTGTTCTACCCAGGCTGTAGCATCCAGAGTCCAGTCCAGGAGTACCTGCCCAAACTCCCACAACTGTGGTCAGGTCCAGGGCAGGATCCTCTGTCCCCTCTCCAGTTCTCCTCCCCCACCCCCCTGCCCTTACTCCCCAGCCCAGCCTCCCTACGAGCGGCTCTCAGCTTACTTGGCACTGGGGTGGCTCCTTACCACCTTTGCTAGCTCCATCTCATTGTCAAAGCTCAGCAGCCGGATCCCCTGCTTGGCAGCATACTTGATCTGTGCAATTTGCTTACAGGGGTTGGCATAGATGATCTTACTGGCAGGGACACCAATATGCTGGACCACCTCCATCTCTGCCTGTGGGGTCCCAAAGATGGGAGGTAAGAAGACACCAGGGCCCGCTGGCCCACAGAGCCCAAGGAAGCACAGATGAGGGTCAAAGTCACTGCTGTGCATTGGAGGCCCATAACAGGTTGGCCTCGCTCTAAGAAACAGATATATAGAAATCAGAACTTAGGCTGATTCTACCATTCTTTGATGGGCAGGGATGCCACGTACAGCCATGCAAGTGGTGCACTGCACAGTCCTAAGGGGCCTCATTCACAGGGAATACTAGGTAAGTATGTATATTTATTACAACTTTCTGGCAGTAAAGGGTCTTATTCTAACAAAAATCAGTATATATATTATAATAATTAAGTGTCTTAAGGAAGGGGTACATTTTCTTTTTGTTTGCTTGATTGTTTGAGTCAGAGTCTCACTCTGATGCCCAGGCTGGAGTGCAGTAGCATGCTCATGGCCACTGCAGTCTCGATCTGCTTGGCTCAGGTGATCCCTCCACCTCAGTCTTCCAAGTAGCTGGAACTGCAGGCGTGCACTACCATGCCCGGCTTATTTTTTTATTTATTGTAGAGACAAGGTCTCACCAAGTTGCCCAGACTGGTCTTGATCCCCCGAGCTCAGGCAATCCTCTCACCTCGGCCTCCCAAAGTGCCAGTATTACAGGTTTGAGCCACATTTTCCAATTCACACAAAGGCACTACATGGACTCATGGTAGCCCTGATGACAGGCTTCTGACACATTTTCCTGGCAGATTTAAATGCTTAAAGAATATCACTTGAGAAACAGTATGGAAGTTTCTCAAAAACCTAAAAATAGAACTACCATATGATCCAGCAATGCATACTTGATATATATCCAAAGGAAATAAAATCAGTGAATAGAAGAGATATCTGCACCCCCATGTTCATTGCAGCATGTTCCACAAGAGCCAAGACAAGGAATCAACCTATGCATCCATCAGTGGAGGAAAGGATAAGCAAAATATGGTGTATATACACAATGGAATATTATTCAACCTTCAAAAAGAAGGAAATTGTCTGGGCTCAGTGACTCAGCCTATAATCCCAGCACTTTGGGTGGCCGAGATGAGTGGATTGCCTGAGCCCACGGGTTCAAGACCAGCCTGGGCAACTTAGTGAGACCTCATCTCTACAATAAATTAAAAAATTAGCTGGCGTGGTAGCGCACACCTGTAGTTCTGGCTTCTTGGAAGGCTGAGGTGGAAGGATCACCTGAGCCCAGCAGGTCGCCATTGGACTCACCGTGTGCCATGGCAATGCAGCCTGGGCAACCGAGTGAAACTCCAACTCAAAAAAAAAAAAAAAAAAAAAAGAAGGAAATCAATGTAACAGCATAGATGAACCTGAAGGACAGTATGTTAAGCGAAATAAGCCAGACACAGAAAGACAAATATGCATGATTTCACTTATAAGTGGAATCTAAAAATGTCAAACTCAGAAAAACAGAGAGTAGAATGGTGGTTGCCAGGGTCTGGGTGGAGGGTGGCAGTGGGAAGATGCTGGTTACAGATATAGAGTTAGGAGGAATAAGGTCAAGAGGCCCATAGTACATCATGTTGGCTATAGCTAATAACAATGTACTATATGCCTGGAAATTGCTAACAGAGTAGACCGCAGGTGTTCTCACCACAAAAAATAATAAGCATATGAATTAATGCATATGTCACTTAGCTTGATTTAACCATTTCACAACGTATGCTTCCATCAAAACATCATGTTGTATGCCATAAATATATGCAACTTTTATTTGTCACCTTAATAAATAAGTAAGAATATTACTGGAGAGATCACCCAACTCCAAAGGCTTACTCCAAACTGGGTGTGAGTGTGGTGGCTGGCCCAGCCCCGGTCTCCTTGAGCCTCTTCTTCCTCACCTTTATGCAGCATGGCCCCCTGGGATTTCTGCATTAACAATTTGGATAATGATGACGGTGGTGACGACAGCAATCACATTCACTGAGGGCCTATCATAAGCAGGCCCTGAATAAGATGCTTTACATCAAGTGTTGCAAATTTTTTCTATAAAGGCCAGAGTAAATATTTTAGGTTTTAAGAGCCAGTCTCTGTCACAACTGCTCAACTGTCACCATAGCACCAGAGTAGGTAGCCATAGACAATGCACAAATGAATGAGTATGGCTGTGATCCAATGACACTCTGCAAAACCAAGGGGCTGACTGGATTTGGCCCTGTGTCCACAGCGTGCGAGGCCCTGCTTTTGACTGACCATTCTAGTCAAGCCTTACAACAACCCATTCAAATAACATTAGCTTCACCCTACAGAGAAGGAAACTGATGCTCAGAGGGGCTGTAGCAAGTAGGCGGCAGAAGCAACTCCCACACTCAAGTCTGATTTTTCATGAATAAAGAAAAGAAGAGCAAGCCCGTTTGGAAACACAACAGTTGGAATCATAAGAGTCATTTTTGGCCACCCTGAGTGTGTAATAAGAGTCTAATTTTAATTTAGCAACTTTTCAGCACTAGGTATTTATACATATATATTATTTCACATAATCCCTATAACTATGCTATGAAATATTTACTGGCTGCATTTTACAAAGGAAAAACTGAGTTCAGTGAGGTCCCCTGTCTGTGGCGACACAGCCAGTAAGTAGCAGAGTGGAACACAGAGATCTGGCTCCAGAGCTGGGCCCACTACCACCACAGCTTGCTTCCCAAAGACAGATACACGCCCACCCGAATCCGAGTGACTGTGGACATGTGCTTTTGCTGCCTGCCTCACCACACGAGAGGAGATGGAGAAGTAACAAGAGCACTTTGGGGACCTGTGACTGAGCTTTGATTATAAACATTTAAACAAGTGTCATCATTCCCAGAAGGCTTATCCTATGGGATAAATATTTAATGCAATGCCAGCCATTACATTAAATATTTTATATACAACCTCATTTCATCTTCATAACAATCTTATGAGGTAGGAAACAGAGGCTCAGAGAGGTTAAGTGACTCATCCGAAGTCACACGGTTTCTAAGTGGCACAGTTTCTAATGGTGGTCTACAGTCCACCATTCTACTCTCTGTTTTTCTGAGTTTGACATTTTTAGATTCCACTTAGAATTTACTGATTCTAACTATCAGACCCTGGTATACCAGCTCCTAACCACAGTGCTCTAATGGGGAATACACCCTCAGTGCTGCGTTGACAGGTATCTTGAGTTGCCAGGCTCTGTGACAGGTGCTCATGAAAACAAGTGGAGAATAAAACAAGCAGAGTCTGAACCCATGGGACTTTCGGGCTGTGGGGGGACAGGCAGATCTGAATGAACACTGAATAGTGATGCAATTACAAATGGCTACAAGCCGTGAAGTACAGGCTACAAGAAGATGCGAGAGTTCTGGGTGTGAGGGGCAAAGGACAACCTTTCTGGGGATCAGAGATTTAAGCTGAACCTGGCAGGAGGCCTCAGGGAAGACGCCAAGAGGGAAGTCAGGAATACAAGAATGTTTCCAGTAGAGGAAGCAGCCGTGCAGAGGCTCTGAGGCAAGAAGTGTGCAACCTGATCCAGGAACAGAGGACCTGGAGTAGCTGAGCAGCACGAGGAGGTGGGGAAGGGAGATCAGAGGGAAGTGGGAAAAGTCACTGAGGAAACCAGGAAGGCCACACAGGGATTTATATTTCACCTGCATGTGACGGGAGAGTTTGAAGGGTTTCTGGAAGGGAAATGACATGGTCAAATTTGCATTTTAAATGCAAGATCTAAATGCCCATCACTCTGGCCACCTGAGGAAAGGCCCAAGGGGATTCTGGGGCTGTCACAACCATCCTGGGAAAGATGACAGAGCCAGCTAAGGGGCACTTCATGAGGGCTGGAGATGGGGGGTGCCGCTAAACACTCTGGATTTCTGGCATCTTCTGGTATCAAGTCAACTGGAGAGACAGGAGATGAAAATGTGGGAGGTGGTGGCATATTGATGGTATTTAAAGCCATGGGAGGAGATGTAATTTCATAAGAAAGTGAGTTTATAAGAAAGGGAGGCCTGAGATAGAATCCAGAACAGGGCCACCATTCAAAGAACCACAGCAGACAGGAAGAGCCAGCTCCCAGGACCTGCAGCAGGAAGAAGGGAGAACCAATGAATGCAGATTATAAATGTCATTCTTGTAAAAGCAAACCCTGTTTTTACAAGGGTTGTAAGGATGAAAGGAGCTGTCTTAATTGTCAGAAGTGCCTGGTGAGGGTGGGACAGGGGTAGAGCAGCATTCACTTTTCTCTTACATACTTCTGAAGTCTCTAAGAGAAGGAGTGTATGTTATTCTTGAGTATTTTTTAAAAGAGTATGCTGACTGGGTACGGTGGCTCACACCTGTAATTCCAGCACTTTGGGATGCCAAGGTGAGAGGATTGCCTGAGCCCAGGAGTCCAAGACCAGCCTGAGGAACAGAGTCTACAAAAATCAAAAAATTAGCTGGGTGTGGTGGCACACACCTGTCATCCTCACTACTCAGGAAGCTGAGGCAGAAGGATCACCTGAGTCCAGAAGGTGGAGGCTGCAGTGAGCTGTGACTGTGCCATTGCACTCCAACCTGGGGTGACAGAGTGAGATCCCAACTTAAAAAAAAGAAAAGATTATGCTGTTGTGTTGAATGTTGTTGAGAAATTAGATTAAAAGAAGACTAAGGAGTATCCCCCATAAATGCATCTTCAAAATACATCTTCAAAACCTGCTGGCTGGGCACAGTGACCCACGCCCAGCACTTTAGGAGGCCGAGGTGAGAGGATTGCCTGAGCCTATGGGTTTGAGATCAGCCTGGGCAACTTTGACAACCTCATCTCTACAATAAATAAAAAAATTAGCTGGGCGTGGTAGCACGTGCCTGTAATTCCAGCTACTTGGAAGGCTGAGGTGAAAGGATTACCTGAATCCAGCAGGTCAAGGCTGTGGTGGCCGTGAGTGTGCTGCTGCACTCAGCCTAAGTGACCAAGTAAGACTCTAACTCAAAAAAAAAAAAAAAAAACACCTGCTGAGTTTAAAGCCATTGAGAAACAGTACATACCAAATAAACACATTTTATATTTTGTTACAAAATCACAAACTTTTTTTTTTTTGAGTTGGAGTCTTACTCAGTTGCCCAGGCTGGAGTCCAGTGACACACTCACAGTCACCCAGCGTCAACCTGTAGCTGGAACTACAGGCACGCACTACCATGCCTGGCTAATTTTTTTTTTGTAGAGACAAGGTCTCACCAAGTTGCCCAGGCTGTTCTCGAACATGTGGGCTCAGGCAATCCCCTCACCTCGGCCTCCCAAAGTGCTGGGATTAAAGGCTTGAGCCACCGCACCTGGCCCACAAAATATTTTATATGTTTTCTGTGGATCATTTATGTAAATATCTTTTAAATACTACATATCCACCAAACCCATCAGAGTGATTATCTATGGAAACATAAAGCTGATGCCCTACTTTGTTTTGGGGAGAATGAATTCATGTACAATTTGAATAATTCACAATTAATGTTTCAAGTGAAGTGCTCATAGTATCCTGAAGATCACTGGGGACCTTGGTAAGAGGAAATTCTTTGGATCAATGAGAGTGAAGGCTGGGAAACAATGACTTTAGGAGCAGGTACTGAAGAAGAGAGACAACAAGAACAGACAACTCTGCTGGGTTTGGCCATGAAGAAGGAGTGAGGAATTGGGCTGGAGGTGGTGTCCAGAAAAGGGTTTTTAAGATGAGAAGACGCTGAGAGAGACAGCAAGAGGGCAAGGAATGGGGACAGGAAAGATGATACAAGGTCCTGTGGAGGTGGCTGGGTGGACCAGAGGCCCCATGCAAGCTGTGGCCTGTGCCCTGGCCCCTGTCGAATGCATATCTGTCTTTACAGTCAGCCCTAGTTCCTGCCCAGCCCTGGATCAGTGTCCTGTAAGGCAAGGGTCCCCAACCCCCAGGTCATGGACCAGTACCAGTCCGTGGCCTATTAGAAATTGGGCTGCACAGCAGGAAGTAATCAGTGGGCGAACAAGCAAAGCTTCATCTGTATTTATAGCCGTTCCCCATCGCTCGTTATACTGCTTGAGCTCTGTTTCCTGTCAAATCAGCAGCAGCATTAGATTCTCATAGGAGTGCAAACCCTATTGTGAACTGTGCATGCAAGGGATCTAGGTTGCGTGTTCCTTATGAGAATCTAATGCCTGATGATCTGAGGTGGAGCTGAGGCGGTGATGCTAGCACTAGGGAGCAGCTGCAAATACAGAGGAACATTAGCAGTGAGGTTTGACTGCACTGTCCCACCCCGACCCCCATCCCGGTCCGTGGAAAAATTATCTTCCACAAAACTGGTCTCTGATGCCAAAAAGTTTAGGGGCCCACTGCTCTAAGGCCACCGGTGCTGTTACGCATGGCCACCCACTATGGCCTACCAGAAGAGGGCAGCCTCGGCCTTCCAATAAAAGCTGTAAGTCCTGGGAACCAACTCAACGAGTGCATTGACGTGTCTGCTTGATCCCACTGCAGGGAGGGGCTTGGGCCTCTCCTGGCCCTCACAATTAGCTGAGGGCATCCATCACTAGCTATGTCCCAGATCAGCCATCCCCCCTATGAGGACCTTGGAGAAGACAGCAGCGATAGAGTCCAAGACCACATTGCTAGACTCTAACTGCCACGTCTCAGTGCATGACCCTGGTACATGACCTCCATGCCTCATTTCCTTATGTGTTACACGTGGCCACACCAGGCTGTTGTCAGAATTCTGGAAGAAAATCATTACCTCACAGGGTAGTTGCGAGAATAAAATGAGATCCTGTGCAGAAAATGCTTGACAAAGCTCCTGGCACAAGAGACACACTCAACAAACATTAGGTGCTTCTCTGGTCCCCACTGTCTTCAAGACCTTTAGAAGCCCCAACACACAACTCCGCCCTTGGGAGGTCAGCTCCTGAGGCTAGAGAGCCAAGTGCCTCACCCCTAGGGTTTCCTGAAGCAGAGGGCTCTAGGCAGAGGAGTATGGTTCTATTCTTCACCCCTAGACCAGAGGTATTGAAAGGATCCTGCTCCTTTCCCATGTGGAGGCCCAGCACTGCAGGAGGCAGCAGGGAGGGAATTCCTAGCTCTGCTACCCACAGCTCTGTGCTATTGGTCTCCAGTTTCCTCGGCTGTAAAATGGCAATCTCTCCTCCTGTGTACCTCACAGGACTTTATGTAAGATGTGCACGAAACAAGGTGTGCAAAGCAAGAACCGATGCCAAGACGAGAGAGTGCTTCATCTACCATGAGGGTCACATGTGGGTCCTAGTACAGGCATCACTCTAGCCCTGTCATCCTACTCAGGCTAGCTCCTCTCCTTTCTCCTCCAGGGACCCTTTCTAGAACTCTCCTCATAACAACCAGCCACATTGCTGGCTGGAATTTAAAAGGAGTTCCCTTCAAAACAACCACTACTAACCAACAAGAAAATGATGGTACTGCAACATCATAAACCAGTACTCAGCAGGCATGCTCCCACCTCAGGGCCTTTGCACTTGCTGTTCCCTCTGCCTAGAATGCCCTTCCCATGGTTATCCACCTGGCTTGATTCCTCGACTCCTTCAGTTCTGTATTCAAATCTCAGTGAAGCTTTCCCTGGCCAAATTATCTAAAAGTACAACCCTCTCTTCCAACATTCCCTACTTCCCTTTCCTGTTTTTTCTCCACAGCACTTAGCACCTAAAATACTATATATTTTCAGTATTTAAATAATTTTTTTGAAAGCAAGATCTGTGAAGGAAAGGCTTTTGTTGTTTTATTTTGTTCACTGCTACATCCCCAGCTAGAGTACTTGGCTTCATAGGAGATGCCCAATAAATATTTGTTGAATGAATAAATGAAATATGCTCAAAGCTCTACTTGGAGGAAACTTTATAGCTCAAAGGCTTGCAACTAGTTAGAACATAATGAAAATAGCTGAACTAAGCATTCAACTCAAGGACAATAGGGTCTGCCTCACTCAGTGGTGTATTGCCAGCCCTACCTACCACAGTGACTACCACATGGCAGGAATTCAATGAATATTGAATGACAGTATTATTATAAGCAAAGTTAAAGACAGCAGAAAGAAATGAAAACAGCAGAAATCAAATTAGAAAGACAGTACAATTGGCAACAACACAACTCTGAGATGATTAAGAAAATGCACACTTACATATTGTTAAGATTATAAAACAAAAAAGAAAAAACCAACAATATGAAGGTATTTTGCTTTGTTTTAATTAGAAGAATACCACATATAGCTCTATGCAAAAAAAAAAGGAAAATCTCCATTAAAAAGGTGACCTGTCTACCCAAGGACACATAAGGTTCCAATTTGGAACTTCAAGGTTGACAAATTCCATACTCGCTTCTCCCTCCCTCATCCCGTGAGGCCCCTTCTGAGTGGGTGGCCTTCCCAGAGGACAGGAGCCAACTGCAGGTCATTCCTGCTTCCCAGAGCCCACCCACACCAGCGTATGTTCAGTAGTCATGGAGGATCAGTGCACGGCGGGGCAGGGCTCACCTTGTTGGCACAGCTGAAGCCCAGCCCCAGCTCAGCCAGGACTTTCAGCACACCCGGGCTGCTGTTGCACTTGACAGCGTAAAAAGGCCGGACTCGCGGCAGGTACTTCAGGAAGCAGAAGTGCTTCCTCACTACAGCACCCAGGTCAGCCACGAAGAAGGCAGCGACCTGGCCCTGTGTGACAAGAGGTCGGTGAATGTGAGATCCCACCCACCACCCTCCCCATGGCATGCCATCCATGGTCCTTCCAAGTACCTGTCCCAGGTTCAGCTCTGACCACCAAACTACCCTGCTGTAATGTTTTTGGGGGCCTCCTCAAGCCTACAGAACAGAAGACAAACTCCAGCCTGGCATTCAAGGCTCTGTGTTCAGGCTCCGGTTCCTCCCCACAACTCAGCTAAAACTCCAGCTGTAGGCTGGATCCTTTTTCCACCTCCAGACCTTTGTTCCCACCATGCCCTCCCTGGAATACCCTTACCCCAACGGTGTATGACAAAATCCTAATCTACCATCAAGTTTCATCTCAAATAACACCTTCCCCAAACTGAGAAGGCACCTCCCACAGCATTTTGCATGTGCTTCCAAGTATCCAAACCGTAGACCAGAAAAGGGCAAATTATCAAAGGCAAGGGCTATGGACTATAGCCTCACCACCTTCCACACGCAGGTGCTCAATGAAACCTGGATTTTGTCCTACTGTCACCGCAACCTATGCCTGTGGACAATTGCTCATCACAGATTTGTGGAAGGCCAAGCATGTATGAGGTTGTGGGTGAGCCTATTTTACTTAAACCTTCCGTGGGATTCAGTTTCCTTTTTACACACCACTTTTTTACTGATGCCCACTTGGTGCCAAACATTATGCTGAGGTACAGAGATGACCAAACAGGGCTCTAGCTGTGAAGGGGCTTAGGTCTGGAAGAGAAAAAAAAAAAAACCTTAGGTGCTTACAATGAACAAACACTAGCTGGGAGTTTCTACAAAGTACAGTGGGAGCCATGGAGAACCAAAACACAAAAGCTGTCTGCAGCTATCAGGAAAAAGCAACACTGAAGACAAGCAAGGAATGACTAATCAGGAGAGGCTGAGAGAAGGATGTTCCAGGCAGAGGAACAGCCTGGGCAGTGGTGTGGTAACAGAGCCCACGGCATTAATGGGAGATGCGAGTAGAGTCCTTCAGCTCTGATGGAGCACTATATATGCTGTGGGAAATGCTGGAAATGGGGCTATGGAGGCAGCGAAGTTCTGACTTGACCTATAGGCAATGGGGAATTGTCAAAGAATTCTAACTCAGAGCAGGACTGGAATACAGTTGGAGGGGATGGGATGAGACAGGGAGGAGGTTAGGGGGCCAGGAGGTCAGATGAGGATGAGAATACAAAGTGAGGTTCCATGTGAGCACACTGGAGGGTTATTTAAGGAGGCAGAATCCCAGAGCTTGGTGATGTCTAGATGTGGGAGGTAAGGGTGAGGGGGCAGGGGGAGAGGACTCCCAGGTTTCTCACCTGGAGGGCTGGGGAGATGGTGGTAGTGCTGTTTATCAAGGCCAGGCACCCAGGAGGGGCAGGTTGGGAAGCAAGGACAAGGAATTGGGGATAAAATTAGCCCTTCTCTTGCAAACAGCAAGAACTCCATACCAAATAAGTGAAAAAATAAGACGAGGAGGCAGCTAGGCCCACACATACGACTGAGGACCCACCCCCACCCCAAGCCCCTCACCGTGGTGGCTTGTGAGGCCCCCAGAGTGAGCTCCTCCAGCAGGTCCTGGGTGCTGAAGCCCTCCTCCACCATCACAAAGTCCGATTCACTCAGGTAGCCAGCCATGCCTTGGAGGAGGAGCCGACTGGCTGGATGGAGCCTCTGCCTCAGCTGCCGCCTTAGAAAGTATGCAACACACTGCAGGGAAGATGGAGGAGGGGAACGCTGGGGGGCTGGCTCCTCTGCCCCCCTAACCTCCCCAGGTCAAAGCTCCCAGTCCTGTCACACCCTCCCCCAGCACAAGCCTGAGGTTCACTAGGAAGGATGGAGGTCAGGAATCCTGGATTCTAAACTGGGACAAGGCACATACACTGCTTTTCCGGGTCTCAATTGCCCCATCTGTAAAATGAATGGTTTTGGAGATCCTTTCCAGTTCTGAACTTTTGGGTTTAGGAAAGAGGGAAAGAATGTGAGAGATGTTTGGATGGGGAAATTTCCAGGACGCCCCCTGTCCTGCTACGCCCACCTAGAGAAGTAGCCAGTAACCACGCCAAGGCGTCTCAGACTGAGATGGAGTTTAAGTTCGAATCAGTTCTCTGCTGCATGACCTTGGGTACACTCCGATTCCCCTCAGAGCCTGTTTCCCCGTTTGTAAGTGGGGGCCAGACTAGTTCTGATGTGCTAGAATTATAAGCGTGCATGGGGGCGCTACATGATGGGTGGGAGCTGCAGGCTCCTGGGAGAGAACCAAAGGCCGAGGTTCTTTCTGTTCGGGTTCACTCCTCCCAACTGCAGGGCCGAAGTCCCGCCCCCTCAGACCCCCTTACCAAGCCCCGTCCTCCTTCGCGGGGGCCAGAGCCAGGCGCGCTGCTAGGGGGGGTCGCCGGTGACCTCGAAACTTGTGCAACACCCCGAAGAGGAGTGGCAGTTGCGGAGCCGAGGCCCCTGCTAAGAGGAGGCAAGAGGGGCCAGGGGACAGGTCAGCACCAGAGCCGAGGGCATCGGTTCTCCGATGCTCCCCAGGCCACTCCCCGCACTCGCCTTAAAACGCATTTACACGGCTTCGGCCCATAGGTCTCCCCAGCGAGTGAATCGGATCCTCGGCGCCTCCGCTCGCTCGCTGCCCCCGGCTCGGGCCCCGCGACCTGCGCCCCA